TCTTGCATAAATTAGAAAAATATGTTCTAATTTTTATAGTTTGATACTTTAATTGTTATTATGGATCTGTTTTTCTGTGAATCTTTTTGTTTCAGATCAGCGTTTGAAATTCTAAATGTTGAAACTTTTGTTGGGGATCTTCACTTATTGGGATGTTTAAGATTTTTGAAATTTATATTATTCATTTGCTTCGTGGGTTTTGGTAGTTATTGTTTTAGATCCGTTTGATTTCCGTTTTTACTTTGATGGATTCACATTTTGTAGTATTTGCATGAGAAATAGTGGGAATCTTCTTTCTGCAGTTTGTTACCTATTTTCTCAAGTTTAATTTTCATTGCTTATTATCACATGAGCCTTCTGGAATTTTATGTAACTTCAATCAATGGTTGTATTTTCTAATAATGGGTCTGTATGATTTGATCTCTTGTATTAATTGTATATGATTAGAGAAATTTGGTGACTTGGTCTGCTTCAATTTGAGTTCCTGCGCTCACTGTAGTTGCTGCATGGTTTCTATGGACATTTTGTTATTTTTATCAATCATAAATGCAATACCTATTATTGTTAACTTGGATTATGGAAAGGACTTAATGAATTCGGAGTTATCTGTAGCTATATGGACGACGGAGTATTGAACACGAGGAATTGGGGTTATTATGAACCTTCCCTTGGCCTTAAAGGGCATCTCGGTCTTCAGCTCATGCCATCTGTGGCCGAACGAGACACTAAACCTTTCCTTACAGGACGTGATACTCCTGTTATGGTTGCAGCGAATGGGGCATTTTATCCACGGGATTGCATGGTTACAGAACCACCTGTCACACATATGGATTATGTTAGAGACAGCTGGATAAACCATAGAGATAAGTTCTTACACATGTTTCCGGGGAATCTTTATAACCCAGTGCTCATGGAAACTTCGGGAAATCATCATTCCATGCAGATGCTTGAACAACCTGATTCAACCAAAGACTCAAGGGTGAGTGTAGAGGATCCAAGTGTTAATAAGGAAGATGAAATCCCTTCCAAGAAGAGATCCGCAGCTGCTGCCTCTCCAAAAACCCCCAAGGCAAAAAAATCAAAGAAAGGTCTTTCTTTGCCTAAGGAAACTGGTAACTCCTCTGTTCAGCGTGCCAAAACATCAAAGAAGAATCTTGACATTGTAATAAATGGAGTTGATATGGATATTTCTGGTATTCCAATTCCTGTTTGCTCATGTACCGGCACTCTGCAGCAATGTTATCGATGGGGATGTGGTGGTTGGCAGTCAGCCTGTTGCACCACAACCCTATCAATGTATCCCCTACCAATGAGTACCAAAAGACGTGGAGCAAGAATTGCTGGACGGAAGATGAGTCAAGGTGCTTTCAAGAAGGTTCTGGAGAAACTCGCATCGGAAGGCTATAACTTTGTTAACCCGATTGATCTAAAGGCTTACTGGGCAAAACATGGTACCAACAAGTTTGTGACCATCAGGTAGATCTATTTTGTGGGTACCACGACTCGATTGCTGCTGCTTTTGGTCTGTTTTACATGTATATATTCGGTGGCCTTCTGCAGGTTTACTTGGTACTTTGTAGTTTATTAAATTTCACTGATGATCCATGATTTTAAATTTAAGGAATTTGGGGCTCTCAAAAATTGTTGCTTAATTTTGTTTCGAGTCTGACAATGTTTCTGGCGATCAGGTATATCCATGGTAACTTCCATTTTACTTCATGGATAAATTTGGAAATGTCTTTTGTGATAATTCTTTCTCATGTATGACATTGCTGATACGAGTTACTTATTTTGATTGGATCTTTACTATATTTTTTAATTGACTTTTATAATAGTGCTATTGTATTTTCTCATTTTTGGGATGTTTAACTCCGTGCTTGTTTACTCTTAAATTGTTTCGTAACAGTTCGAAATTACACAAGAGAGTAGTTTCTTTGTTGCACAAACTTAGGTATTGGTCATGTCAATTGTCGTCGTCGTGATCCATACTTGATAAAATGTAGGGATGTAAACGAATTGAGTTGAGCTAAATTATAGGTTGTCCGTACATGAATTTAAGTTATTGTATTTAGAGAGTTTCTATTGTAATTTGTTATTCCTTAACTTATCGAGTTTGACTTGTTCTCGAGTTTGGCTCGTTCAAGTTGATTCTTAACGAGCTTTCAGAGATCAGTCACTAGCTTTCTTGGTCCATTTTGTCGTATTGGTCATGTGTCATAAACTGTAGGTGTTGTGCAATTTTGCTTTTTTGGTGCCCGTCAGGAGATGGATTTACATGTGTACTTCGTGTGATGGCTCCTAAGATTATATACACGTAAGATGGGAAACAACTAGGAAGAAATGTGGGGTCAATGGGTGATCAAGAAGGCTGGTGGCCTAGGTTGCCGACCTCCATTGCACTTAATAGGGGTGTCTGCCCAAGTGGTCGAGCTTATCTTTGAGATGGATGGTGCTTAGTCACAAGAAGCTAACCAATATGATCTTTTGAATTGGTCTTTGCTGTGGATTGAGATTATATAATGTCGTTATGCATTTGGGAGGCCCCGGCTAAGCCAAGCTAAGTCCTTTGCAGGGGTTATTTCATATTTATTTTGCTCTCAATGTCTTCTGAACCAGACCAAATTGAACCACGTTTAAATGAAAATTCTCCTCGTACAATGCTGGAGAATTTTTTCCCTTTCAAGTTGTGCTAATACTGATTTGATTTGAAAAATGAAAATCCCTGCTTGCACTTCCTTCTTTCCTTTAAACTGAAAATGCTTTTGGATTCTTGCTTATCATCTTATACTCTTTTAATTCAAATCATATTCTAATTCTAGAATATCCCAAGTCTTAATTCCACACTGGCTAAATCCCCTCCGATCGCTCACACCTCCACTGACCATCACCGCTCTCTCCTTCCTCGTTGATTTGCTCAAATCTAACCAACGCTGCCACCCTCAACCACGAGGCTGCAAAAATTGAATCCTTGCTTCGGTTGAAAGAAAATTTAGGTGGAGACCCACTGCAAGCCGGACATTCAGTAACAAGTCGAGGAGCATAAAATACAGGGAAATATCAAGAAAAAACTGAGGCCCTAAAGTAAGATAATGAACTTTCAAATGACCATCTGAATGAATTTTTATTCATCAATTTGTATCTTTCCTGAAAAATATAGAAACCGATTAAATTCTTAAATCTAGACGATTGTTGATTCATAAGCTATTAGGAGTTCAAGACAAGTAAGGAGAATATTACTTGTGACAAGTAGCACTACATGCTATATTTTGTGGGTACACTTGCATTGAATTTTGATGAAAAATAACGCAGAACTTGATTTTTAATGAAAATTAACATTATATTTCAATTTTGGCACCTTAATATTTTTCAAGTTTTATATCATCGTAGAGATTTGTGAACTTTCCCTTATTTAAACTGCTTAGACTATAATGAAGCCCGCTTTCTTGATGAGTATAGAGTTTAGACTATCTAGAATGAGGGAATTAGATTATATACCCTAAACATAAGACTCTTTTGAAAAATCATGTGAAAAGTGGGTACAAAGTATAAAATATTGTATTTTTTTCATCAATTTTAAAGCTAAACACTAATACTTTTATTTCATACCATACTATCTCTCTCGTCTCTCTATATTCGTCTGTCTCCTTTCTCTGTGGAAAAACTATACAAATGCGGAGGTATTTTTATCCCAAAATTTGTCGTCAATCGTAGGGACATCTACTTTCGAACAAATCACTGAATTAGATTATCAATTCGATGAATGCTCGAGATGACTGGATAAATTGCTCAACTTTAATATTCACATCGACAACATGAAGAAAAAAACTCCCTTAAGTGAACAGTAAAATGGCTATGGCTTCAACAACCAAAGAAGATAAACAAGGCACTGTTGCAGTTTGACCATTGACAAAATGTCTTAGTGAGTTTCCATTTGTAAAGTTAGAATCTTAGAATAACCTTTAAAATTGCTTCAGAGATTAACTGTTGGGATTCCTTTTTTAGGTTATTCTGCTAAAAGTGTTGTTGTGATTGGTGCTGGTGTTAGGTATGGAAATGTGCTCGCAAAATTGTTGAATCATATTTCAGTTGATGTTGAATGCTGAAATTGTATGTTCCGACTAACTGGGATTGCTAGTGAAGGTTATTGTGGTTTTAGCAATGCAATTTAGACAATAATTGCGAATTATATCCCAATTGAGTAATCAAGAGTTTGTTCTGAAAGCAAGGGAGATGTTGAAGAAAGAAGGTTTCACACACCATCAAGAACTATTGTAATGACCGACATGTTGATGCTCCTTTTCTTTGCTAATAAGGTTGTCCTTGATGAGCTTCGTACACAAAATTCTTTTAACAAGTGATAGCAATGATAACAAAAAGTGATAAATAATTTAAACTTCATAAAATTTCGATCATTTTATTACTTGTATATTCATTATCTTTTATCCATTTGCCTCCGTAATAAATGAGGACATTAATTTTGGCCATACCTACAAAAGGATTACAAAGAAATTGTGTGAAACCTTTTTTTTTTTTTTTTTAAATCTTTTTCTCAAACACCTTACATGCATCAATATAATTAATTCAAAGTTTTCCTTTTCTTGTATATTAATATAAAACGACGTTTGAATTCGTTGTTCAAATGTTCAAAAATGCACATGTATGTATCTACTTAATTGCTCCAATAATATACTGTAACTTTTTTGAAACACGTGACATAATGTCACTTTTTTCGTAGAAAAGTAACAACAAAATGTCATTTTTCATAGAATATTACTTTTTCACATTCTTATTTTTTCAAGCACTTTGCATGCATCAATTTGATTGATTCAAAGTTTTTTTAACAAATGATAACAAAGATAATAAAAAGTGACAAATAGTTTAAACTTCATAAAATTTCGATCATTTTGTCAATTGTATGTTCATTATCTTTTGTCCGTTTGCTTTCATAACAAATGAAGACATTAATTTCATCTATACCTAAAAACAAAATTATAAGCAAATTGTGTTAGAGGCTTTTTGAAAAAGCGACAGACTTTTTCACATTATCCTTTCCTCAAACACGTTGCATGCATCAATTTAATTGATTCAAAGTGTTCTTTTTTCATATGTATTAATAGAAAATATGGTTTGA